GCTGTGGGTGCCACCATCTTTGAAGGCATGGCAGTCAATTACTATATTCCCTCCTTATTGGCTGTGGGTGCCTCTATCTTTGTAACTGTGTGAAGGTCAATTAGCATATTCCCCTCTTTATTAGGTAGGATAAGATATATAAGGGAAGAAAAAGATGTATAGTTAGCCTGCTTATTTTTTCTTCTAACTTCATAGTATTCCACTCCATTTTGTGGATTTACCATATTTATTCAGCCAGTCCCTAATCTTAGACTTAAGTGTTATTTCTAATGTTCGCTGATGTAAGTGATGAGACAGTGGCTATCTTGTGCATGCATTTGTTTCCTGTTTGTGGAGGCGTTTCTTCACAGTAGACTCCTGGAAGTGATATTGCTAGCTCAAAGGGAAAATGCATTGTCCTTTGAGGATGTCGCTGAAATATCCTCCAGAGGGGCTGTGCCATTTTGTAATCCTCCCAGCAGTGCTCAAAAGCGCCTGCTTCCCAGCTCTTGCCAACAGTATATTGTCAAACCTCTGGATTCCTGCCAGTCAGAGAGGTGAGGGAAAGTGGAATCTCAATGGGACATTTGTCATTTAAATTAAATAGACAGATAAGACCGAGAGCACTGCGAGCCCTCCTCTTTGGACAACAGAAGAAATAGGCTTATTTTAGTAACCTAAGGGGAGCACCATCACACCAGCGGGGAGACACAAGTTCTTTGTTCAGAAACTCCTCTGTGATGGGAGGTCCCTGCCGGGGCCTCTGCCTGCAGGATTTCCTTCATTCCCCAAAGCCCACCCCTGCCGGTCAGGCTGTGCATTTGTTTACCCGAGTGGAGGGTGTGTTGTGACTGCCAAGTTTGCCTTTTCACGTTTGGCTTTTTCTGGCCAGCAGGGAGCTCCATCTCCCTTTGCCCTTGAGGAGTCATTTTCTTCAAATTCCCTTGTTAATTGCTTTAGGCGTCCCATGTACATGAAACAGCTGCACCACAGAAAGAGATCCTTAAGCCAGACTCCCTCCCCAGCCCGTTCTGGCCGTCTTATACCTGTCTTCAAAGATCTGACAGGGACAGTGTACTTAGCGGGTAGGCGTGCAGGCGCTGGGGCCAAACTGCCCAGATTCAAATCAAAGCTTTGTTACTCACTAGCTGAGTGGGACTGGACACTTTTCTAACCTCTTTGGGGCAGGGTGCCCTCCTCTGATGAGTGGGATAATAGTACCTATTCTGTAGGGTAGTTGTGAAGAATAAACGAGTTGATTTAGGTACGTAGCCTGGAGCTCAATGAGGGGCAGACGCAAACTCTGATTAAGGTGAGGTCCTGTTAGTGGTGATGATAATGATGGTGGTGGTGATGACAGCACTGCTGCTGCTCATGCGAAGATGTGGTAATGCTGATGGTGATTGGGTGCACCCTGAGCCCTGCTACATGTTTGTGACCTTGAGCAAGCAGCTCAATCACCCCCATTGTTTCTCATTTCATCATTGGTTTGTAGCGATGGGAATAATACTGTCCATCTAAAGCACAAATCAGCAAACTGCTGCCTGTGGGCCAAAGTCTAGCCTGCTGCCTGTTTTCTTTAGTTCTTTGTTTGTTAGTTAGTTTGTTTGTTTAGAGAGAAAGGGAGAGAAAGATACAGACAGAGACAGAGATCATGTGAGAGGAAACATTTATCGGCTGCCTCTTGCATGCCCCATCTGGGATTGAGCCCACAACCTTTCGATGCATGGAACACACCCAAGCAACTGAGCCACACCAACCAGGGCACTGTTGCCTGTTTAAATGAATAAAGTTTTATTGGAACACAACCATACCTTCTTGTCTACATAGTGTTTAAGGATGCTTTCACACTGCAATGGCAGAGTTGAGTAGTTAGTTATTAATAGTTGTACCTTAGAACTTATGGCCTAGAAAGGACAAAATATTTACTCTGTTGCTCTACAGACAAAGGTTATTGACCCCTGACCTAAAGGAATGGTTGTGAGGATGTGGGACACGACGCTTGTGTAGACTTGGCACGTATTAGGTGTCCAGTCAGGGTGGCTGCAGCAAGCCAGCATTTAACTTTCATGAACTACATGCCTCACTCTTGGGCCCATCCCTGCTACTCTCCTCCAGCTCCACGAGGAAAATAGAGGGAGTAATTACAATATGAATAGTTTAATTAGAAATATCATAAATGACATTTTTATCATGTAGCATACATTTCCATATGCATTAAATATTGCACATGCATACTATTCTGCAGCAGTGGATCTGAAGGGCTGTGTCCTGGAGACTGCTTTGCGGGAGGTGTAAGGCTGCTCTCACCAGCGGTAATTTTGATGCTGATTTCCCCTTGCCTGATGGCTTCAGAAGCTAACATCCAAGGAAGCAACAACTCCCTTCTGAATGGTAGTGATGAATATTATTATCAGCATCTAGAGCAAAGTAAAACTGAATGCCACAGTTTTCCTACCACGGAAAAGAAATCCTGAGGGCAGATAAAATCTCTCTGAAATCATAAGTGAGAGAGGATGGTATTGTAGTTAAAAAATTCAGTGCATTCACTTCTTTCATCTTTTCCCCAGGCACACATCTGTTTTGTAAAGTGAGGTACTCAGGTGTCATTTACATTTGGCCTTATTTATTGTTTCATGACTGAATCTGGCAGGTCACCTTGCAAAAGGCAGAGGAACATCCCCTTAATTTTGCAGGTAGCATATATGCTAACTAGAAGCCCAGTGCACAAAATTTGTGCATGGGAAGGGGGTCCCCTCAGGTCGGCCTGCAGCAAGAAGGAGCTGTCCACATTGAGTTACCTGCAGGAGAGAGGGGTTCAGTGGTGTGAGGACAGGAGCATTAGATAACAAATGCGTGTAATTAGAGCAAATTATCTTCATTGGAAAATAAGCACATTGTTTTCCAATTTAATGAATAAAGAAGCTTCTAATTAACTCCAGTAGAGAGATTTGCTTTCATATTTCAGTAGTTAAGCTCTATGTTTTTTTGTATTAATATTTTGTTTTTATGACCCAGCTTAATGGTGGTTTCTTTCCCTGTTCCTTATTGGTGAAACAGAATTTTATAGAAGAAAAGCAAACCCAGAGGTAATTCAATCTAATTTCTTCTTTTTTAAGGAAGGAAATATGGTCCAGAGAGATTTTGTGACTTACCCAGGGTGACCTAACTGGTTAGCTGTCCACTGGACCAGGTCCCCAGACATATGTCTGACCAGCACAGGAAGGACCTCTGCTAGACTTTGGTGTGCACCATGCCTACCCTGCCCTACCTCTGTTTCCCTCCCTACCCTTGCTCTGGGCCTTACTTGGCCCTGCTGGCATCTTACTTGTCTCAGACCTACTTCTGCTACTAAAAACCTCCTTCCCTGACCCCTTGCCTCCAGCCCACTCTGTCCTGTTCCAGGCCTAACTCCAGGCTAAGCATCACCTGGCCTATATTACCTGGTGTGACCCTCCTCTGACAGCCAGAGCAGGTGATTGTGGGAGCTGTCCACCCTGGCTCCTGCCCCAGAGCCTCAGAGTACGGAAATTGGAATAAAATTGGCCTAACAACTCATATTACTTGATCCTTATATCCTGGACTCTTTTCTAAAAATAAAAAATAAATAAAAAATAGCCCTAACCGGTTTGGCTCAGTGGATAGAGCGTCGGCCTGCGGACTGAAGGGTCCCAGGTTCGATTCCGATCATGTGTAGACCCACTGGAAGTGACCAGGTCCAATGGTCCCCATCTCTTGCTTCTCAGTAGGTCATCACTAAGCCTTCTTTCTTTTTTTTTTTTTTCTTTTTTTTTTTTAATAATTCTTTATGGTTGAAAGTATTACACAAGTCTCTCTTATCCCCCAATGACCCCTCCAGCCTGCCCCAGACCCAGGCTCAGGCCCTAACCGCCCCGCTGTCTGTGTGCATGTGCCATGTGATACCTTCTTCTTGACGAGAGACATGACTCCAATGCAGGTCAACACTTGCTGGAGACTCAGGCCTTCCTGAGGGACCCCGTCAGCAAATGTTTCAGAGCCGTCTGCCCCGGGCTCACAGAGATGGCGCATGAACAAAGACACATAGGCCCTAAGACGCATGGGGATTGAAGGTGGTCTAGAAGAGCCTTGAAAAGGACAGGGGTTACAGAACCCCTGAGCCCTAAATTCCTGAGATGTCTCCAGGGGTCCTCCTGAGCCTCTCCAAATCCTAAACCCCAATCTGCCCCTCCCCTTGTTCTTCCATGTCTCCTGGGCTTTGGTACTTCACTAAGCCTTCCTGCTCCTGCCTTCAGGGTGCTCTTGGCTGATGGGACATGTGGTGTGGCACCCTCACAAATACATACTCGAGGGTGAAGTTGAACAGTTTGGGAGACGCCTTGACAATGTGCAGTGACTATCATTTTCTATTTTAAAACCAAGGCAATCCATTAATTTTTCATCAAGGAATTCTTTTATAATGGGCACTGCCATAAAAGTTCTGCATTTAGAACAGCCTATTTAAACATTCTGGTGTCGATCTGTTGAATTTATGCGTGCCTTCAAATGTTAGGCCACCAGTTTTCTGAGATAAGCAACAATTTTCTCTTGAAATTGCCCATTATGTGAAATGCGGGGATTCCTGCTAATTCCCATCTGTATCGTCACCTGTGTGTAAGTTTGGGGTTTGGTGCGGCACATCAGAGGTTATGTGTATGCACAGTGGAAGGCATTTTATAATCCAAACAATTTAATAAAAATGCAATTCGACTGGCAACACTGGAGGCTGTGGGCCCTTGCAGAGTGCAGATAATGCTCCAGATTAAAGAGCTGAGGCTTTGTTCATTAAAGTCAAGTAACGCGTGTGAATTAGCATTTCCTTGCTGTTGCTTTATTTCAAGAGTATACCATTTTCCCATCATAATAATAGGCTACATTTTCTTAAAATCACTTGATTATGATTGGTCTTGCCTATCCAGTTTGCAAATAAAAAGCATTTGTGGTGATACACTAGCTGTTTTAAAACAGCCTTAATCTCTGGTTCTGCTTTTGAACTGCTACAGGTCAGACTCTGCGAAAGGCTGAGAGAAGCCGGTCCTGCTCTCGGGAGAACAAGGAGGTAAATGTGTTACTGGCGAGGGCTGGTGGGCGGGAGCTATTTGAAGGGAGGTGTAAGGGGTGTAAGGGGATGTGCAGGCTGGTGACTAAGTATTCCTGGCTCTCCTCTCTGAGTCCCAAGCTTGAATCCCTGACTAAATAATACTTGGCAACTAGAGTTATCAACCACTGAACCAGTGTCATTTGTTGGTAATAATCTCTTGTTGAATGTATCAGTTAGCTTTGTCTGTGTAACAAATCACTGTAACTTAAAAACAGCCATGCATTTATTCATAATTCTGTGGCTCAGCAGTCTGGATGGGGCTTCCCTGGGCAGGTCTGCTGATGGGCTAGGTTCTGCTGATGGGCTAGGTTCTGCTGACCTCAGCTGGGATCACTTATGCATTTGTCCTTCACTGTTATCACCTAGAGCTACCTGTCGGTTAGGATGCTTTATGTTCTCTCATCCTCCAGCAAGCTAGCCACATGGAGGTTCAAGACTTCAGAGTTTGAATGGAAGCATAGGACCTCTTGAGTCCTAGCTCAGAACTGGTACTGATACTTCTGCCACTTTCTGTTTCTCAAAGCGAGCCACAAGGTCAGCCCAGATTCAAGGGTGGGGAAATAGGTCTCACTTCTTGAGAGGAAAATCTACAAACTATTATGGCCATTCTTGAAACCTACCATTCTGAACCCATCTGCTCTGTGCCAGGCACCGGCTGGAACTAAGGCATGGGTGAGGCAGTCCTTGATCTTAGGACGTGCGACAGATCATGATAATACAAAGTGCCAATATAGCGAGAGAAGGGCAAAGAAAGTAGAATTTCAGTACCCAGAGGGGGTCGCATCCTGCCAGTGATTATTAAGAAAAGCTGTGCAGAGAAGCCGGTGTGTAGGCTGCCTCCTAAAGGCTGAGTAGGAGACTTCTAGGCCAAGTAAAAGCCCTGGTCAAAGTCACAGAGACACGAATAGGAAAGGGGGCAAGGTCACTGAACCTGAGATGGGAAGTGGTGCGAGGACTCATAGGTTACAATGCAGGGGGGTCTCAAACTCATGGGAGTTAAATTTGAGTCTTAATAGTGGCATATGAGTGCCTGGGTATGAAGGTGTATAGCTTATCATAAATATCAACCAATCCTGAATTCATGAACACTTGGGTACTAACATTCTTGATTGCAAAGTGACACAGTTCTAAGGGAAATTCTCAGGCTCTGCTGGGCCCAGAGGCTCAAAAATGGCCACAGGACTTGGTCTTCGCCGTGGCTCTGCTTCCTCTGTGCTGCCTCCCCCAGCCAGCTCTGAGGAAGCAGGTTGGGTTTGGACGCCCCATTTACTTTGTTGTTGAAAGATGAAACAGAGGGCTGGAGACCAGGAGGCCAGGACACAGGCTTCATTGGAGGAGAAGACCCTGCCGGGCTGCCTTCCAAAGGAGAAAGAGCACACGTGCGGGGGAGAACATGCCTTTTGAGGGGAGGAAAGGGAAGAGACGGGGTTTAGGTCACTCAGCACACGCTGATTGGTGGTTTCATGTAAGGCACATGATTAGGGACCTAGGGACTTAGGAGTCCGGGGCTTAGGGTATTTGGCAGGTGCTGATTGGTGGTTCAGTGCACAGTCCATGTAAGTTGCCTTGTGTGGTGCTCAATGTCTATCTGCAGGTACAGGTTATGTCACACTCCGTCCATCAGTTGGGAGAAGGGAGGATCTATCAGTTGTGACTTTCATCTTCTCCTACTTTTCTCAGCTGCAGCCAGAACAGCCTGTGTGGGTTTTCTTTTTATTTAATCAACCTGCCTCGACTGAGGGCGGGGACATAACTTGGGAAGTTTGATGCTGCTGGGATGACCTAAATAAATGTCAGCTCCAGAGGGCAGTCTCAATGCTGAACAGGGTGGGTTTTCTGCTCCTCTCTGGTAGGAGGTTTCTCTGGGAGCAGGCGCAGGTGTGCCTGTCTTCCGAAGAATGGGAGTGAGCTCAGGCCTGCACGCACCTGTCTTCCTCTGCGAAGTGACCGAGGATGGCGACCAGCGCTGCTCAGCCAGGAGTGAATGGTGTAAACCTAACTGGTATCTTAGGCCACAGAACAGCAGCATCCCATCCATCCACAGTAAGAAGTTAGCAGGGAACCCAGGAAGCAGGGAGCAGGTAACCAGTGGAAACACTCTCTCCCCCCTCTCACTGGCAGCAGGACCCCCCTGATTGCCACTTTTCCGGCTACTCCCATCACGTCAGTTGCCTGAGAGCATTTCAGATCACACTCCTCTTCTGAAAGTGAGGGAAAATAGAGAATGAGGTTATCACAATATCCAACTTCCACCCTGAAAGATATCTATGGTAAGATGGCTTTGGGCCCTCTGAAAAAGAGGGTGCTGACTCTCTAATAGGGCTTTTGCTTGGTCAGAAAAACAAGGGAAAGAAATCAATGCCAAGCTGCCAGGATGTTCACCCTGATATGTTATAAAAGGGCTTTTCCATCTACCTCTTTCTCCTTCCCTTCCCCCTGACCCCCCAGTCTGTGGAATCTGCACCTCCTGATGCACTGTGCCTTACACAGGATGCCAGGTATAGACAAGCTCTGTCCCCATGAAAGATGAGAAGAAGACTGCTGGTGAGAACAGGTGGATGACATGGCGTGTTTCTTGGGTGATGAGGTTACTCCAGCCTCCTTACACTTTGGCCAGAGGACACGTGGTTTCCATGGGTATTTCTCTGAGTGTTCAAGGGCCAACACGGCAAAGGGAGGATGGGCAGCTGTTCTCAGTGAGCTTGCCAGGCCCAATTCAGCCCAAAGATTGTTTTATTTGGCCCATACTTTATTACAATTTTCTAGAATTAGGGGTCCACGTTCAGTAAAAATTGGAGATTTCATATAAAAATGCACCCTTCTGGCTTCTTTGGGAAAGTGAAGACTGACAACAGGTCCTTGTTCCTGTATGGCAACAAGGGCCATTGCTGCTGTTGCGGATGCGGCCCTATCAGGAGAGCTCTCCAGGCCGCCTCCCTGCCCCCATCTCTGCTCCACAGCGAACGGTTTCAGCAGCTGCATTGCAGGCCCCATGCTGAGTGCTTAATGGCAGAGGTTCACAAACATTGCTGCGCTGCCGCAGAATCCCAGGAGCTTTTACATACCCTGATATCCAGGCCTCTTTCCAAACCAGTTAAATCAGAACCTCTGGCAGTGTGGTCCAGGCATCCGAGCCTGTTAATTTCCCCAAGTGGTTGTGATGAGAAGGAAGCAGGGTTCACAGGTGGTAACTCACCCTGGGTGCTTCCCTGCACACCCCATGCCGGCCTGGCTGGAGGACTCCCCTTTTCAAGCCCTCCTCTCCCCTCCCTCCCTCCCTCCCTCCCTTCCTCCCAGCCTTCTCCCAAGCATACAAAGGCGCAAATCAAAGGCAAGGGCGGCGGGGGAGAGAAGACCTCCTGGAAGAGGCATCTTGACCTGAGGCTTCAGAAGAGTTAGGAGCATTTCTGAGAAATGTCTCTTTGATGGTTGGTTTCAAGTCCGTAGATACTCCCATGTAGCTGGGAAAAGCATTCTCAACAAGCATTCATTGTTCCTGCCTGTGGAGATTATATAGTGTTTATGGCCCTTAGTCATGAATTATTAATGATTTTGAAATTGTGGCCATTGTAGTTTACTCAGAAATCGTTAGGAAGTAAATTTATCATGCAGTGTTTTTAAAGAAAAGGAAACCACAGAGGAGAGAGGAATCTTTATTCATCACCCCCCTGCCCAGAGTTCACACTGGTGCCCAACAGCACGGGGACTGTGGGTATGGCACTGGGAGCACGTCCTCCTACTGCAGGGAGTTAACTGTGAATTAGCACCCACCAGGTGCTTCTGCAGCAAAGCCCAGTCATGTGACCTTGGACGAGTCTCTTGACCCCCTTCCTCATTTGATAATACCCACTTTGGCGACTGGTTTGCAGCATAAAGGCTGAGTGTTCTGAAGCACCTGGTGTAGTGCCCGATCCATAGTAGGCATTCCATAATGTTAGTTACAAATGTTGATCATTGCTTAGAATGTCTAGTATTTAACCGGGAGAGCTTTCCCCTTGGACTAAGAGCTAAGAGGCAGCAGAACTGCACTTTTTTTTCCTTTGGGGGATCTGGCCCACAACCCAGGCATGTGCCCTGACTAGGAATTGAACCGTGACCTCCTAGTTCATGGGTTGATGCTCAAGCTCTGAGGGTACAATTGCACTTCTTACTGAAGGGACCTCCCTTGCTTCAGCGCCCCTAGGCAAGTGAGCTGTGTTCTGTCCCCCCCCAATCCACCTGCATCCCCCCAACCTCTCTCAGAGGACTGCCTTCTTTTGTAATTGATTGGAGATGCGGGAAAAACCTCTTGACAGCACATTCATCTACTGGGCACACTCTATAGAGGACTGAGAAAGTCATTTAACTCAACCACCTAGGAGAGATTTAGCTTTCCTTTTGCATGCACACACGTGCACACACGTGCACACACATGAGCATGCATACGCATTTCCTCCTATTAAGCAGAGACTCCTTTCAGATCTGCCAAATGAAATAGGAGATTGGGATCTTGGCCACACAGCCAGGGATGGGAGACCCGCACAGCTGACTGTGTGCCAGCATGGACACGCCTCTGCTCCCATCTCATCTCTGCACCTTGTTGTCTTGATGCACCTCTCTAATAGTTGTCCCTTCTCTAGTCCAGAGGCCAGAGATAGAGTCTGATCCATCTGGCTAATCAATACTAAAGGGCATTTAGAGGGCTCCTGACACCAGTCCCCCACCCAGTTTCCCTCTGTGAGAAATGCTCACCTGTCCAAATTTCAAATGATGGACTCGGAAACTGAAGCGTGGCGAAATGAGACTTTAATTCACTCTCGAGAGTGGACCTCCATTGTACAGGCTCACACGTGGGCCAGGGAACACAGCCTATTTACTCAGTCCCTCCTCTGGTTCCTCATTGGCTGAGTACTATGAGGTCACCTGTTTCCTCACATGTCACCTAGGTCTTGCTGTCTCCCATCGGGCCATTTATAAAA